TTTGTCTGTATATGTGTTTGCGTGCTTGCATGTGTTTGTGCGCATGTGTGTAACTGTATGTATGTATGTATGTGGTTAGGTGTGTATGCGTGCTTGTGCGTGTGTCTTCATGTGTGTGTGGTTGCGTGTTTGCGTGTTTGCGTGCTTGCTTGTGTTTGTGCGAGCTTGTGGGTACATGTTTATGTGAGCGCGCGTGCACGTATGGGTCTGTATGTGGGCTTTGTGTATGTTTGTGTGCGTGTGAGCGCGTGTGTCTGTAGATGTGTGTGTGTCCTTGTGCGTCCTTGTGCGCTTTATATGTGAGGTAAACCCTGTGCGCTTTGTGTGCGTGTGTGTGTGTCCTTTCGCCCTCTGTGTGTGTGTCCTTGTGCGCTTTGTGTGTGAGTACCCTTGTTCGCTTTGTGTGTGTGTCCGTATGAGCTCTGTGTGTGTGTCCTTGTGCGCTTTGTGTGTGTGTCCTTGTGCGCTTGTGTGTGTGTGTCCTTGTGCGCTTTGTGTGTGTGTCCTTGTGCGCTTTGTGTGTGTGTGTGTGTGTGTCGTTGTGCGCTTTGTGTGTGTGTCCTTGTGCGCTTTATGTGTGTGTTGTCCTTGTGCGCCTTGTGTGTATGTGTGTGTTGTCCTTGTGCGCTTTATGCGTGTGTGTGTCCTTTTGCATTTTTTGTGTGTGTGTCCTTGTGTGCTTTATGTGTGTGTGTCCTTGTGCGCTTGTGTGTGTGTGCTTGTGCGCTTTATGTGTGTGTGTCCTTGTGCTCTTGTGTGTGTGTGTCCTTGTGCGCTTTATGTATGTGTGCTTGTGCGCTTTAAGTGTGTGTGTCCTTGTGCGCTTTGTGTGTGTGTGTCCTTGTGCGCTTTGTGTGTATGTGTGTGCTGTCCTTGTGCGCTTTGTGTGTATGTGTGTCCTTGTGCGCTGTATGTGTGTGTGTCCTTGTGCACTTTGTGTGTGTGTCCTTGTGCGCTTTGTGTGTATGTGTGTGTTGTCCTTTTTGCGCTTTATGTGTGTGTCCTTGTGCGCTTTGTCTGTATGTGTGTGTGTCCTTGTGCGCTTTGTGTGTATGTGTGTGTTGTCCTTATGCGCTTTATGTGTGTGTGTGTCCTTGTGCGCTGTGTGTGTGTGTCCTTGTGCGCTTTGTGTGTTTGTGTGTGTGTCCTTGTAAGCTTGTGTGTATGTGTCCTTGTGCGCTTTATGTGTGTGTGCTTGTGCGCTTTAAGTGTGTGTGTCCTTGGGCGCGTTGTGTGTGTGTATCCTTGTGCGCTTTGTGTGTATGTGTGTGCTGTCCTTGTGCACTTTGTGTGTATGTGTGTCCTTGTGCGCTTTATGTGTGTGTGTGTCCTTGTGCACTTTGTGTGTGTGCCCTTGTGCGCTGTGTGTGTGTGTCCTTGTGCGCTTTGTGTGTTTATGTGTGTTGTCCTTGTGCGCTTTATGTGTGTGTGTGTGTCCTTGTGCGCTGTGTGTGTATGTTGTCCTTGTGCGCTTTGTGTGTGTGTATGTGTCCTTGTGCGCTTTGTGTGCATGTGTGTGTGTCCTTGTGCGCTTTATGTGTGTTTGTGTCCTTGTGCGCTTTGTGTGTATGTGTGTGTTGTCCTTGCGCGCTTTATGTGTGTGTGTCCTTGTGCGCTTTGTGTGTATGTGTGTGTGTCCTTGTGCGCTTTGTGTGTGTGTGTGTTGTCCTTGTGCACTTTGTGTGTATGTGTGTGTGTTGTCCTTGTGAGCTTTATGTGTGTATGTGTCCTTGTGCGCTGTGTGTGTGTGTCCTTTTGCGCTGTGTGTGTATGCGTGTGTTATCCTTGTGCGCTTTGTGTGTGTGCCTCCGCTCCATGTCGGAATATATTGTACCAGTTCCCAAACAGATCAAATGATGCTGAGCTTAATTGCACTCTGTCACTATAAATACAATTATATCAAACCTAACACTTCACCCCATTCCGGATATGGAAGTAAGGAAAAAATACTCAAGTCTTCTCTTTCGCTTTTATCAACCTTGAAAACAAACATCCGTGAGTCTGTACAGATATCAGGTTGTGATTGGCTGACTGACATACGTGGGTGCCTGATCAGGTTGTGATTGGCTGACTGACATACGTGGGTGCCTGATCAGGTTGTGATTGGCTGACTGACATACGTGGGTGCCTGATCAGGTTGTGATTGGCTGACTGACATACGTGGGTGCCTGATCAGGTTGTGATTGGCTGACTGACATACGTGGGTGCCTGATCAGGTTGTGATTGGCTGACTAACATACGTGGGTGCCTGATCAGGTTGTGATTGGCTGACTAACATACGTGGGTGCCTTATCAGGTTGTGATTGGCTGACTGACATACGTGGGTGCCTGATCAGGTTGTGATTGGCTGACTGACATACCAGGGTGCCTGATCAGGTTGTGATTGTCTGACTGACATACGTGGGTGCCTGATCAGGTTGTGATTGGCTGACTGACATACGTGGGTGCCTGATCAGGTTGTGATTGGCTGACTGACATACGTGGGTGCCTGATCAGGTTGTGATTGGCTGATTGACAAACCAGGGTGCCTGATCAGGTTGTGATTGGCTGACTGACATACGTGGGTGCCTGATCAGGTTGTGATTGGCTGACTGACATACCAGGGTGCCTGATCAGGTTGTGATTGGCTGACTGACATACGTGGGTGCCTGATCAGGTTGTGATTGGCTGACTGACATACGTGGGTGCCTGATCAGGTTGTGATTGGCTGACTGACATACGTTGGTGCCTGATCAGGTTGTGATTGGCTGACTGACATACGTGGGTGCCTGATCAGGTTGTGATTGTCTGACTGACATACGTGGGTGCCTGATCAGGTTGTGATTGGCTGACTGACATACGTGGGTGCCTGATCAGGTTGTGATTGGCTGACTGACAAACGTGGGTGCCTGATCAGGTTGTGATTGGCTGACTGACATACGTGGGTGCCTGATCAGGTTGTGATTGGCTGACTGACATACGTGGGTGCCTGATCAGGTTGTGATTGTCTGACTGACATACGTGGGTGCCTGATCAGGTTGTGATTGGCTGACTGACATACGTGGGTGCCTGATCAGGTTGTGATTGTCTGACTGACATACGTGGGTGCCTGATCAGGTTGTGATTGGCTGACTGACATACGTGGGTGCCTGATCAGGTTGTGATTGGCTGACTGACAAACGTGGGTGCCTGATCAGGTTGTGATTGGCTGACTGACATACTTGGGTGCCTGATCAGGTTGTGATTGGCTGACTGACATACGTGGGTGCCTGATCAGGTTGTGATTGGCTGACTGACATACGTGGGTGCCTGATCAGGTTGTGATTGGCTGACTGACATACGTGGGTGCCTGATCAGGTTGTGATTGGCTGACTGACATACGTGGGTGCCTGATCAGGTTGTGATTGGCTGACTGACATACGAGAACCCTCTCTGTACCCACACACTGGGGCCCTGGTCTGGGTTTCCCTCTCTCAGGTCAACTTCTATCGTGAATGTCAATAACTTCTAATCGACGTACAAATCACTCAACACAGAGGATCGACACTATGGCCATAAATTACTCTTTAAATTCTCTCATATGGCTCATTTGTTCCATTTTGTACATTAAATCACAGAGTTCGCAGCTGGATCAGGTGAGGCCTGTATATGCTAATACAGTTCCTGAAGCCCGAGACATAATGATGTGTTGTAGGCAAAGACGTTATGCCATCATTAAATACATTCAGACATATATATAGAGGCACGGCCTCGCTTCGCTTTGTTGTCAATGGCAGGACCCTGACGACCGCAAGATCCCGGCACTTTCACATGCTAGTCGTTGGAGTCGACGAATGGGTATCAGGAGGACACAATTTGTGCCAATGCTGACAGCTTGAATCGCTGCTTATCCCATCCACCACTGGTTTAAACGTTCTGGGCTGAAGTTCAATGTTTTACAGTTCTCCAAAAGCTAAAGTTTTGGACCAGACTCCGTGGCTTGGTTGTTTGTGTGTCATCGTGCGGCGATAGCGTGGGTTAGTGCTCATGTTATCAGTCACTGGTCTCTCTGCTCCAGACAAATAAAATGTTGGGTAAAAGAAAATATACTTTGATTTTGACAAAGCAATTACAAACATTATCGAAACGTTACTAGGTTGAAACAGTCGTCGAAACATTGCAGACTTAATGATTGTCCAAAACGCTGATATCCGTAAGGGGGCCCAGGTGGCCCAGGTGGCCCAGTCGTCTAAGGTGCCGCGATTCGCTGTGCAGAGTTGCGTCCCTTGAGTACGCCAGAAACCTATGATTGTGGGTTCGAATCCCGGTTCGCCCTGATTATGTTTCTAGGTTTGTCAGCACCATACACGTGCTCGTGGGTTTCACCGAAGTGGTAAATTTCTGAGACCTTTGAAACAGTTTGAGGTTGACAGTGTCGCTGAAGAGAAGTGAGTGGCGCTCGGTGATTAATGTGTATTAGAACCATGAGTACAACTACAGCCAAACACCGGGTGTGTCGAAGTTGAAGGACCTATGTAAATACTTCGAATTAGCCGAGGTTCGACACAACCGAAATCTGATGAATGAAGAAAGAATATGGAGAGACTATTTTTCCACTTCGAAACAACTGTAAAATCGACACAACGGTGTTAATTATTTAATTATTGATTCGTACTTAATACGTGTGGCTTTCAGGTTATTTGGCAAAATCCTAACTGACGATAATCAATCATTCTAGATGCAGTTTTCATAATAAACCTCTGCAGATCACACACACAGCATGGACGTTGTTCATCGCACCTGGTGCGCAGGTCGTATGATGATTTTAGTTGAGATGAGGTGAAATTGGGTTGAACGTCGTGTTCAAGATTATTACACTTATATAGGAACGTGCGTGTGTGTGTTTGTGCGTGTGAACCGGTTTTGTAGGGAAAGTTTCACGTTTAACATTGATACCCCACTCAGACACAGTCTACGAACTCCGAGCCGACCATTCCTTGTTTTATCCCCTCAATGAAAGTCTGTTTACCATTAGACTCAACTTTCCTCCAAGATAGCAGCGGGTTCCCGTTATGCGGGGCAGTTTATCATTAGAGATAAAGGATTTTCTATAAACACGTATGATTGGTCCCTGTTGGCAGGATCCCTAAACAACAGGATGCATATCGCTGCACTGCGATCTCTCTGACAGGCATGCTCGATGCGTGACACAGTTTACATTTGACGCTTTCAGCCGAAGTCAGTGTTTGATTGAATAACTGGTGTGACTCCAGGCTTGTCACTCTCTCTCTGTCATGGATCACTATGCGTGGACACTCTGCGTTGTATTTCTGCCTGTGGTGTTCCCTCAAGATATTGGCCTCACTGGGAACTGTTCTAACGATGACTCGGATTCCTTGGAAGTAAGGGGAACTGAGGTAAGTCAGAACACAGTCTGCACGTTGTTTCTTTTGTAACGTAAGTGTGTGAGTATGGCCTCTTTTAGCAATATTCCAGCAATATCACGGAGGGGGACACCAGAAATGGGCTTCGGCGTGACGAGCGAGCGCTTTAACCACTAGGCTACCCGACCGCCCCCTTTTGCAACGTGATATATATATAAGGCTAACTACCTGTAATAGGTAAAATGTTTACATTATGCTAAGTACCGGTACCGGTAATGGCCGAAGTGAGATTATAGAGAAACCTCCATGGCTCAGGCCCCGTTAATCGAGAAACCCGTCTTCGGGCGATTATTGAATGTTTGTTTGTTGTTCAACGCCGCACTCAATATTCTAGCTATATGACGTCGGTCTGTAAATTATCGAGTCTGGACCTGACAATCCAGTGATTAACGACATGACCATCGCTCTACTCAACTGGGACACGTCAATACAGAGATGGTAACTTCAGTACAGTGAATCCCAGTTAATCTGGACGATATCGTTTCCTACGGAGTACATTTAATTATAATTCCATCTTATTTGCATTTTTGGCCGAGGAAAAAATATACTCTGATTGTCTCGGAATTCAATCCTGTGTGGATTTTCTCAACAGGATAGTCTTGAAAGCGGGAGTTTCGGAACTAATGGGTCAGGACGAGAGATGCTCCTTATTAATACCAATGATTCGTTAGTCCGAAATTCGTCTATCCGGTAGGATTTATCCGTTTTAACGAGGTTTCATTAACGTCATTTATAAATTATAGCCGAAATGAGAATATCACGAATATAAAGTTAGAATATGTAAATTACACACTATATAATATATGCATAAAAATGTAATAATGTAACGCTTCCTGGGCTGCGTGTAGAGGGGCAAGGGTCCTGAGCTATTCATGAGCATAACCAGCCTGATCGCTTTCTTAAATGTATAGGGTTTAATAACAACAGGATCATTCATATTGGGTTATATTTCCTTACCACACAGCGGCATGCTCAAAGCGCTTCAGGGGCCAGGGGTGGCCCAGTCGTCTAAGGCGCCGCGATTCGCTGTGCAGAGTTGCGTCCCTTGGACACGCCAGAAATCTATGATTGTGGGTTCGAATCCCAGTTCGCCCCGATTATGTTTCTAGGTTTGTCAGTGGGTTCCACCGAAATGTTAAACGTCTGAGACCAGCATCACTTGGGGCTTTCCTACCACATTAAGCTGACACGCCGTGATATCACTGGAATACTATTAAAAGAGGAGTTACACCAAACTCACTCACTCACTCACTCAAAGCGCTACACCATTCTTGCCGGGGTCATTGGATTAGAGTGCAGTCGATTTCGTTCTCAGCTCCCTGAGGAGTGTAAACGTGTGATGATATCAGACCTTGTCCAGACCCATGAGTTTCTTTTGTTACACATGTGCGTGTTTCTGTATTTTTTTTAAAAAAGGAGTTTGTATCATAAGTCCGTAACCATCTCTTTTCGCAAAATACTTTTATTATGATAAGTATGACGATCGCGTAGGCAAACAGACAGGTTAACAGATACTAGCACCTTCATTAGTTTGTAAGTAGGGGGGACGCACGCACGCACGCACGCACGCACGCACGCACGCACGCACGCACGCACGCACGCATCTCTATCAATTTCCTTGTAGGTTTAAAATACCCTGCCTTGTATAATGCAACCCATGTTTATTTGTTGTTTAACGCCACATTCAGCTATATTCCAATTACACGACGGCAGTCGGTAAACCCTCGAGTCTAGGTTAGATTATCATGAGCATCGATCTACGCAATTGGGATACGATGACATGCATCAACCCAGTCAGCGAGCCTGACCACCCGACCCCGTTAGTCGCCTCTTACGACAAGCATGGTCGCCTTTTACGACAAGCATGGGTTGCTGAAGACCTATCCTTTACCCGGATCTTGACGGGTCGCAACCCATGAACCGGATATAACTTGACTCCCTGACCAGCTGTTTGTCTGGGCCAGGTTGACACACAAACACAAGTACATAGGAAGAAGAAAGCCGGATGTCTGTGATGAATGTGTGGTTGGGGGGCGGGAGGGTGTGTACATAATGCGTGTAGGCGTGAATAAATGGGTGAATAGTCGCGTTGTTGCAGACGTTTGTTGGGGGGTCGTGATTGAAGTGTAAGGGTGGTGTTATGTGCGTTCTGTTGTTCAAATGGGTTTGGAAGTCGGAGGGGTGTATAACGTAATAGATGTAATGTACTATTGTATTACACCTGGTAGGGATGTTCTTATTATTTAGGGGGCACGGGTGGCCGAGTCGTCTAAGGCGCTGGGATTCGCTGTGCAGAGTTGCGTCCCTTGGGCACTCCAGAAACATATGATTGTGGGTTCGAATCCCGGTTCGCCCCAATTATGTTTCTAGGTTTGTCAGCACCATACCTGTGCTCGTGGGTTTCACCGAAGTGGTAAACGTCTGAGACCTGCATCACTTCGGGCTTTCCTCCCACATTAAGCTGACACGCCACGATATAACTGGAATACTGTTAAAAGCGGCCTTGAACCCAACTCACTCACTCACTCTGATCACCTCGAATGGACTGCAGCATGAAGAGCCGGCTCTGCGACTTCGATGCCGTTGACATGGGCAGAGTGTACAGCTGCAGTTCATACAGGTGGTCTATGCCGCCTTCAAAACCTAGCAGTTTCTTCCTGAACGTCAGCTGAAATTGAAGTTTGTTACCGGTTGTATTTGTTTGTTTGTTTGTTGTTTAACGCCACACTCAGCACTATTCCAGCTATATGACGGCGGTTTGTAAATAATCCAGTCTGGACCAGAAAATGCAGTGATTGACATCATGAGTACTATCCCTGCAATTGGGATACGATGACATGAATCAACCAAGTAAGCGAGCCTGACCACCCGATCCCGTTAGTCATCTCCTACAACTAGCTTTGATTGCTGAAGACCTATTCTATCCCGGATCTTCACCTTTACAAGTCAAATTAGGACATAATCATGGACAAGCATGGGTTGCTGACTTTTTCTATCCCGGATCTTCACGGGTCTCGCGATGAATGACCAGCTGCAATGAGAGCGTTTACCGTGTGTTCGTTTGAGATTTCCGGTAATTTTTACAATTGTGTTATACTCACTCACTCACTCACTCACTCACTCACTCACTCACTCACTCACTCACTCACTCACTCACTCACTCACTCACTCACTCACTCACTCACTCTCACTCACTCACTCACTCACTCTCACTCACTCACTCGCTCTTATTATTTATATTACAGATGTCTTAATGTCGCAATTAATAGAAGTTCAGTTGTATAGTAAACCAGACTGGTCTGAACACAATCCATGTACTTTGCAGGGCTTTGTGCATCACACTAGCCAGGTTCATTGCTATTTGGGGGCGGTCGGGTAGCCAAGTGGTTAAAGCGTTCGCTGGTCACGCCGAAGACCCGGGTTCGATTCCCGACATGGGTACAATGTGTGAAGCCCATTTCTGGTGTCCCCCGTCCTGATATTGCTGGAATATTGCTAAAAGCGGCGTAAAACCATACCCACTCACTCACTCACTTTAAATCAGTTTCATTGCTAGTTGATTACGGCCCAATAGTCTGAGGCGCCGCAATTAGCTGTGTAGAGTTGCGTCCTTTGCGTCCGTGTCGTCATTCTGTTGTTTGAGTGCTCCATTGTCTTTACACTACATATTGTATGATTCTTCAGGATGTTTTTGACAAAGTGAAAGGGATTATCCTCGTACCTCTCAATTCCTTAAAAAACATGCAGAGATTATTATTGCATATGGAAACGTTTTTCTCTCTTTATTATGATTATGATTATGATTATTTTATTTTATATATTTTTTATATATTTATTCCCATCATTTCAAATACAAAGTATACATGGAACATATTACATTAAGATCAGCATGGTATATATTCAAATCGCCTTGTTGTACATTCAGTAGTTTGTTTCTCTGGTACATCTGGTAGATCTATATATAAGGTTTCTGTACAGAATAACAGAAAAATTGTAGTATTAAATCATATCTTGGTATTCTTGAATAATGTGTGGAATGAAGACCAAAAAGAGAAAAATTTAGCTTGTTTACAATTTGAGAAAGCAATAGATCTTGTAGCTTCATAATATTTAATTATTTCCCACTTTACTTGTTTAAAATGTGGGATTGATTTCTTTCTCATTTGTTTATAAATTACAAATTTTGCAATTAAAAATATAATATTTAATGGGTTATTGTTTTTTCCTTTAAATCCAAATAAAAGATTTTGGTTACTACAATCAATACTTCCTTCCACTGTTGTCCCTCACCAGTCTTTCAAATCCTCCCAAATATGAATTGTATATTGACATTCACAAAACATATGAATAATGGTTTCTGGGCAAGTTTTACAAAGAGTACATGTGGGGGTATCTTCATAACCAATCTTAAATAAATAACTATTTGTTGCAAGAATATAGTGTAGTATCTTAAGGTGGAACCAAATTAGGCTTACACTTTGTGTACATCTGTAAACCATCAAATTATATATTTCCCACTCTTCATTGCTAAAATCTTTTTGTAAAACATTTTCCCACTTAAGCATACCATGGGTTTTTACGAAATTTGGTTGTAGAAGAGTGTTATAAAAGTCTTTACTTCCGCCTTTGCAATTAATTATAAGTGATACATTGAAGGGTAATATTGGTCGTAAATATATTCCCGTATAATTATCTAAATTGTTGGTTTTACAATATTGGTGGACAGCACTTAATAAACCTTGATATGTAAGAAAATCAGTTTCAATTTTGTATGCTTCCACAAATTCTTCATAGGTATATATTTCCCCGCTATCTTTCAATAAATCACAAATAAACATTAAACCTTTACAGAACCAATTTCCATAAAATACCGGTTTTCCCCCAATCATAATATTGTTATTATACCATAGAGATTGGCTTATAAATTCAATTTTAGTCTTAATTTTATTCATTCCCAGGTATCGCGACCATGCCTCCAAAACCTCTTTCCAAAATAAATTTAAAACCTTTGGGATGATGTAAGTATTAATGTACATAGCATCTGCCATCCATAGTAATCTCTTTCTATTCGGTATACAATAAGAAACTAGAGTTGACCACTTGGACTGACTATACAGTAATCTCTTCACCCATACTATTTTTTGTGCTGCTATAACATCTTTTATAATGGGTACTTTAATTCCTCCATATTTTTTAGGTAATGAAATATTGCTTCTCTTGATTTTGTCTGGTTTACCCTTCCATACAAATCTAAAACATTTTTTTTGAAAATTTTCAATAGTTTCGACTGAAGGATTTGGTATTGCAGTGAATAAATGGTTTAGTTTTGACAATAGAAGGGATTTTAAGACTACATTTCTGCCTATTGGTGTCAAACTTCTTGCTGACCAATGATTCATTTCCTTTTCAATTTTTTCCAGTTTTTCCTCATAATTAATCTCCACTAATTTTTCAAGGTCCACATCAAAATTTATTCCTAACAATTTAAATTTTGTACTTGTCCAATCTAACTTCCATTCTTTACATAGTTTATACCGTGATCTCTTTTTGGATCCAATCCATATTATTTTGGTCTTATCTGTATTTACCTTTAATCCTGAAAATCTAGCAAAAAACTGTAATGTATTCATTACTGCATAGAGGCCATTTTCTGTACCATCTAAACTTAGAGTAGTGTCATCAGCAAATTGAGCTAAGATATGTTCTACATTTCCCATTTGAATTCCCTTAATCTTTTTGTTGCTCCTAATCATAATTGCCAGTATTCCAGCACACATAATAAATAAATATGGTGATAATGGATCGCCCTGACGACAACCTCTAGTTAGTTTAATGAAAGAACTTGCAAAACCATTTACTAGAACACTTGATTCCATACCATTAAAAAATGTTTTTACCCACTGTTGTATATTTGGTCCAAATTTAAAAAATTCTAAAACATCTAAAATAAATTTTCTATCCACTGAATCGGAAGCCTCGTCACTTCTCCAATATATCTTCCAGGAACAAAACCTTTTTGGTCTTCATGTATAATTTGGGGTAGTACTTTTTTAATTCTGTTTGCAATTATTGCTGATGCTAATTTATATGAGGTATTCAACAGTGATATTGGTCTCCAGTTTTTTAGAAATAATTTAGATTTGTTTTCTTTAGGCAAACATGTAATCAATCCTTGTTTTTGTGTTATTGATAAAGATTCATTTATGTATGCATAATAAAGAGAATTTATTAGATATTTACCAATGTCATTCCAAAAGAATTTTAAAAATTCTGATGTAAAGCCATCGGGTCCAGGGCTTTTATCATTTTTCATATTTTTTAATGCTACAAGAGCTTCCTCATAAGATATTTCACCTTCTAAATCTAATGAAATATTTGTGTCTAGTCTTGGAATATTTATCTCAGTGAAAAGCTCTTCTAAATTAATTTGTGTACATTCTTCACTGGAATATCATTTTTGATAAAATAATTTTGTTTCTTCCAATATCTCAATTTAATTTGGGCCATTTAATTTAATTACTGTTCCATCACTTTTTATCAATTCACTAATAGATTTATTTAAAAAATTTCTATGTTCTAAATGCAGAAAATATTTGCTGGGTTTTTCCCCATACTCTATCTATTTTGCTTTTGACCTGACGAATAATCCCTGTGTCTTAAGTTTATATATATCCTCCCTTTCTGCTTTTAGTTCATCTATGGTGCTCAATATTTTGGTCTTTTCCAATTCTAATTCTACATTATCTATTTTTGTTTCCAGATCATACAGTTTAGTTTCTAATTCTTTTTCTCTAGCAATATTTTTGTTTTGTTTTGTGGATGAATAATATATTGACTCTCCTCTAATAGCAAGTAATATGGTTTCCCATAATAACTGATCATTAATCACATACCTTTTACCTTCCAAATATGTTTTATCCTCATATTGATTAAGGGTAAACTTTATTATTTTCTTTATTTGTTCAACATATTCCTTATCATACAACAAAGAATTATTAAATTTCCAATATCCTTTTCCTCTTTCCATATCTGATAAATTAAATGTCATCAATGTCAATCAAAGAATGATCAGAGTTTAAACTTGGACTAATATCACATTTAATAATGTTTAATTGGATTTTGCTGACGCCATGTAAAACGCTTTTCATTTGGATTAGATTCCCTCCATGGATCTTTCAGATCCAACAGATCCATTATTTCTAAAACAACCTTTCTCGATTTAGGATTATTTATGTGTTTATAATTAAATGTATCCAAATCTATATCTTGTATTAAATTCCAATCTCCACATAAAATTATTCTGTCCCCTTTTAATTCAGTTATAGTTTCTTTTATTTTTTCAAAAAATTCTGATTTATCCAAATTTGGCCCATAAATATTAATTAGTGTGTATACATATTTTTGTATTTCTATATTTAAGGCAACATAATTTCCTTCATCCTTATCTAATAATACTTTGGTAACTTTGAACTCAAAATTATTATTAAATAAAATTGCTGTCCCTCTTGCATTTCTTTTAAAAGGGGCAATATAACATTCTTTATAACCCCATTCCTGCTTTATTTGTTGTTCTTGATCTGCTGTAAAATGAACATCTTGTAGACAATAAATTTGTGCTTTTTTACTTCTTAAAAATTTAAATATTTGTTTTCTCTTAAATGTACCTCCGAGGCCTCTACAGTTTAATGACATCACAGTTAATTTATTTTTCCTCACAATTAAATTTACTCATATCTATATATTGTACTGAATATACTTTATTAAATATTGTAAAGACTATCATCACATCAAGTTCGCACATGTAGACCCTATATTGAAAAGGGTGGGATTTTTTATACAGAAAACAAAATTCATATAACTGTATCAAAATTATACTTAAAACGACTTCCATTTGGAAACATTGTTCGCTACAACCCACCTTTATGAAATAATGTTCATATATATGCCTCTTTGTACAATATTATTAAGAGTACCTGGCTGTATATAATTTTCATATAAAGAAAAAGAAGAGAAAAAAAGTAAAATAAAAATTAGAATAAGTTTTGTATATAACCACTTCACAACAAAACTGTCCCAATTCTGCTATAGATGACTACGGTTAATCCAGACCTCACTCCTATTATCATGGCTATAACAAAATATGTAATTGTTTATATTATTTGTACATTTTTGTATACCCGATCATATCACACTTAATCTCATGGTAATTAAATACTATAGATCAGGTCATGATTATGATTATGACTATTATTATTATTGTTATTATTATTATTATTATTAAAAAAAAGTAGCCGCTATGGTTGATAACACACCACTTGAATCACGTCGCAGACTTTAATCCCATCCCCAGTGTTTTGTTTGTTTACACTAGAGTACAAAGTCTTTATAACAATATTCAGAATATACATTTCAATATCCACAGGGTAGCAGCATCTTAATACATTGTATTCAGAATGAACATCTATATTTAAATCTTATTTAGGGTAACCCATTCTACATCTCAATACATGTATGTCTCGCACATTCTAAATCTGGACCATGTTAACGCACCTCGCATTTTGATTAGACACTCACATTCTACTAAGATACTTGCACTGTTGCCCGCGTATAACTCCGTTGTGTTGTATTACAGAGAGACGATCTGTCATGCCAGCTGTTCGAGGTTAATAGTGAGTATATATCGATATCCAAAGTCAACGTTATACATGCTGTTGGATATTTACAGTGAATCTATAGCGATTTCACATGTCAACCTCATGCATCTGTTGAATATTGACAGTGAGTATTTAGATATATTACGTGTCAACGTCATGCATCTGTTGGATATTGACAGTGAGGATATAAAGATATTACATGTCAACGTCACACATCTATTGGATATTGTCAGTGAGTATGTAGAGATATTAAATGTCAACGTCATACATCTGTTGGATATTGACATGGGCATATGGTGATATCACATGCCAACGTCATACACCAGTTGGATATGATCAGTGAGTATGTAGAGATATTACATATCAACGTCATGCATCTGTTGGATATTGACACTGAGAATATAGAGATATCACGTGTCAACGTCATGCATCTATTGGATATTGACAGTGAGTATGTAGAGATATCACAGTCAACGTCACACATCTGTTGGATGTTGACAGTCTTTACATAGTGATATCACACTTCAACGTCATGCATCTGTTGGATGTTGACAGTGAGTATGTAGAGATATGACAGTCAACGTCACACATCTGTTGGATGTTGACAGTGAATACATTGTGATATCACACTTCAACGTCGTGCATCTGTTGTATATTGACAGTGAGTATGTAGAGATATCACATGTCAACGCCATGCATATGGTGGACACTGACAATGATTGTAATGAGATGTCACATGGCAACGCCATGTGTGCAGTTGGAGAATGGCAGTGAGTCTATAGTGATATCACATGTCAACGTCGTGCATGCTTTTGGATTTATAACTCGGTTGGAGACAACCGCTCAATTGTTTTAAGCGAAGTTCAAAGCTGAGAATGTCTTTTTCAGGCTGTAACGACGCTGATCTGCCCCCGAATGTAGGGGGAGACTTCATGGGGCCACCGCAAACCCTGGAGGTTGATGGGGCCCTTTACCGTAATGAGACGTCGGGCATCCGCTACCCGCAAATAGTGATCACTTGGACACCGCCCGCAACAGGTAGGCTTCTGAATAGTCTGTAACCATCCTCAAATGTAATATATTATGATTAATACACTGTACCCATGCATCATCGCTTAGTATTGAGTGGGTACACGCACGCACGCACGCACGCAAAATGCGCTCGGGTATCTGGTTTCGATTATGCACTGCCTGTCAATCACTTACACTTACTCACCGTTCTCAAGTGCGGCGCCAGGCAACAAATCTTACGTTTGGTGGATTTTTTGTGAGTGGTGGGTTCTGCCGGTGGAACGGGACATGCTTGTCCTTATCGCGAGCGTATGGTGCCATTCAGTGGTCAATTTCTGTGTTTTTCACAGCTGTTTTACTTTTTGAGCTTAGTGGAATCTGTCCCGGCGGGTGATCGAGGCTGATTGTTCTCTGATATATTGATGTTGACATACAGTGAGTGAGTATGGTTTTACGCCGCTTTTAGCAATATTCCCGCAATATCACGGCGGGCGACACCAGAAATGGGCTTCACACATTGTACCCATGTGGGGAATCGAACCCGGGTCTTTGGCGTGACGAGCAAACGCTTTAACCAGGCTACTCCACCGCCGTGTTGACAGACAGACAGACAGATTAGTCACACATCGTAATACAAGATGTACTAGGTGGCGAGGATGGACAAACATTGTTTGCATTTAATTGTTTCTAAGCTGGAATGCTTTATGTACATTGTCTGCTGACTGAATGAACTTATATAAATATTATTTATAAATGTGACGTGATCTGAGCTGTGGTCATCTAATGGACATTTAATTACAAAGGGAAACTCATCTTCCAGCTCATTTTCCTTGCCTCTCGAAGAACAATATTGCTACCGTGTCTGCCGGTCTCAATTCCAACGCATGAGACAAGTGTCTTAATCTAGTGAGAAAAGTTTTGTTTTAAAATAATTTTCGTAAACAAATGCTCGTTTGAATTGCTTCAATGACATAAAAAATGAACGAATATCTAAGTTATTGATAACGCAATGTGATGTACTGATCCAGCACACGTGGTTTGAATAGTGACATAAAAAAATTATATTCACATCCAGTGGTGACATCCGGGCAAACGTCTGGAGTTCAGAGCTGAATGCTCGCTATAAAGTCACGTCACAAATACGTTTGCTGTATCCGTCCTTACACGTTCTCTTGGCGTTGTTGATTGGACGAAACAAGAAATTCAGGGTATTGAGTGAAGCAGAAGGCTTTCTGTTTGCTGCTCGGGACCAGTCACTTTCCACTCGAAACTGTCAATGTCTGATTTTGCATCAAAATGTAAATATGAAATGTAGATTATGTAATGAATTTACTGAGACTGTCCAACACATTGTCAGTGGATGCCCAGCTTTGGCACAAACACAGTATCTTAAGCGACATGATGGAGTGGCTCGATCATTATATTACCGTCTTCGCCATGCTTGTGGTTTTGACACAGAGGTCCATCCACGGTATGACCCGGAATATGTAGGGGGCGTCATGGAAAATGATAAATACAAAATTCTTTGGAATAGGCCCATTTACAGCCTCAGACGTATCGAGGCCAACAAACCTGATCTTGTCCTTTTTGATAAATACAATGAAATCATTTATATCATTGAATTGTCCCATTTGACACTAATGTGATTGACAAGATTGAGGAAAAACATCGCAAATATGCGGACCTCGCTTTCAAAATGTCACGCTTGCATCCCAAGTACCAATTTGTCCGACTCCCCATTGTTCTCGGTGCCTTAGGTTTGGTACCTTCCAATCTGTTGACTGACATTGGGAGAGTACCCGGGTTTGCTACCAGGAATACAATCCTTCTGTCAATCTGGGTAATGCAGAAGACTGCAGTGTTAGGGGGTCGTCACATTCTCCGAAAACCTCTGGGTGGGTTTGACTAGGCAGCGCTTCCTGGGAGAAGTCCCATTCGCTGTCTGGGCTGCGTGTAGAGGGGGCAAGGGCCCTGAGCTGAGGATGAGCCTAACCAGCCTGACTGTGCCAGGATCACCCAAACCCTCTTTGCTGCATTTTTCATTTTAATCTGTACATAATAATTATGGGCTATTTATATTGCGCATATTTCTCCATATATTGCGAACGCACCACTCAGAGGCCTGCTCAAAGCGCTATTATTACCCCGGTCACTGGATTAATGTGCACTCAAGAATCATTCTCAGCTCCAAGGGGAGTATACAACCCAAGCTTTCTGTTAGGTGCTAGAAGATTAACAATGAGCATGACGAATGCTGCGCGACGTCTTCAGATAAATTGTACAATGCGAGCTATTGTCTGACTATATGTACTCCCTTGTGGTAAGATCAGCTCATCCGAGAGGAAGCAGCCTTAAGACATCACTAATAACATCTGTAAGATACGGAAGCACATCACAATATGTGTAAACAGGGCATCAAACAAGATCCGGGTTAGAATTGGTCTGCAACGACCAATGATTATCATAAGAGGCGACTAACGGTATCGAGTAGACAGGCTGGCTGACTTGGTTGATGCATGTTACATAGATCGTGTAGATCTAGACTCATGATGTTAGTCACTGCGCTGTCTGGTCCAGACTCCACTAGCCGCAGACCGCTGTAAAACAGCTGAAATATTGCTGAGTGCGGCGTTAAGTAACAAACAAACAAACAAGCAAACAAACAATACATCTAACAATCTATTCTCGTCACCAAACATATCCCTGTTATCCTGCAAGCTGCACGTGTACGCTTCTTTAGCTGAAAGAAAATACAAGGAGGATTTTACTTGAATAAATCCGAACTTGTTTAAAAGAAGCAAAAAAACAGGCACTATGTCATTTTGGCACCCTTTATGTGCTGATTTCATGTACCTGTCGCTAGCTCTGCGGTTTGGACAGAACCCCTCCATCCTCCTTTTACGATGATGCAATGCCAATATCCTGAGAGGTGGCGTCAGACCTTTGGAACGTCATTCCTTTGTGCGATTGTTGTCTAACGCTGTACCCGGCAACGTGACAGCCATATGACCGCGATCTGTAGATATTCCAGCCTGGTTTTGACGTATGACATTATCGTTATCATGTTAACATATCTTTTGTTGTTTCAAGAATATGAGTAAATACGCTGTGGTGCTACTGGATTGTCTGGTCCATCACTGGATTGTCTGGTCAAGATTCGACAGTTCACCGTCTTATGTCAGGAATACTGCTGTGCGCCTTGCCCAACAGACAAAGATCTATTTTTTATGCAATTTGTGAGAGTGGCTGGTGCTACCGCTAGAGCAGGACACTCTTACCCATTTCGCGAACACCTGGATCATCACTGATTTTCAGTGATACGTTTATGCAATTACCACGGCTGTTTTGCATTCTACGCACAATCAAATCTATTTCGTCTGATAATCAAGATTTATTATTCTCCGGCCTTGACGATATATATTTTGTGAAAACATACATCTTTGAAGTAAAACCCAAGGTGACGTTAACAACGTGTTACAGCAGCGCGTATTAACTAAATCAAATCAAATCTGTATAACAATATGGTCTTGATTACCACTTGTTTCACCGCTAAATTGGAATCTACCTGAACGATCGACAATATATACGTTTCTTTCAGTGGCATTTAAAGTTGGTGTGATGAAGTAAGACGAGTCCTATGGATGAACAACTTCTTTATTACAATTAGTGCGACGTTTCGGTGTAGATCCTAACACCTTTATCAAGCAAGATATGTTGTTAAGCACTATCCATCATGATCACTTGCTTGATAAAGGTGTTAGGATCTACACCGAAACGTAATAAAGAAGTTGTTCATCCATAGAACTCGTCTTACTCCATATATACGTTGTATATTGTGTTTGTAGCATCCGGGTTCCAGAATCTGAAGGGTTTCTATGTGGAGATCCAGAGAGTCATTGCTGGCTATCCACAGCCCGTGTGTCGAGTTCTTGACTTCTCCCAAAACAATTTTACCAAAGATGACTATAAGGTAATCATGAGTGTGAAAGAGTTATTATGGCTAAAATGGATAGAATTATCATAAAAACGCCCGCATGTTATCAGAAATGAGCGGGCCACTGTAACTTGATAATGCCCTCATATTACTTGACGACGGGCCATTATCACGCCCGTTGTTAGGTGACGTCATAGGATAGGGATAGGTGACGTAACGTTCAATAGTGACGTCATCTGGTTTGTTCTATGACGTTTCCATATTTGTAAAAGTGGGTCAGTGACATTCGTGTTGATTGCAGTAAATGTTTCAAAATCGACATTGTTGTTTCTTTTCATTTGATAACAAATTCCATCCATTTTAGCTATAATAACGGTAACGCTATTTTTCAGGGCATTATCATTTACAGAAGCCCCCGGTCTTTTCAACTGCCCTCCTTCGTCGGGCAGTTAATGGAAGACCTCGGGCTTCTGCAAATGATAATGCCCTGAAAAATAGCGTTACCCTTATAATATTTAAAGTCACAGCGGCAATATTTCAGCCAGACCATTACAGGTGATCATGATAATTATGTTTGTCCTTCATTAGTGTGATAGGCACTGTCAAACGGGCGGCATTTCACATGAATTGAGAAGCAAAAGAAACTGTACCTCTCTGGTGATTTTATCATATGTTTGATTTTCAATTGGAAATATCTTAAGTAAACGATATTATGACTGTTAAACCGAAATAATCAAATTTAACAATAGGTCTTTCAAATTTCAATAACACAATAACAAACTTGGTATACTTTCTGTTGACCCTCGGTGTCTTTCCGATAACACAATTGTAGAAATTACCGGAAATCTCAAACGAACACACGGTAAACGCTCTCATTGCAGCTGGTCATTCATCGCGAGACCCGTGAAGATCCGGGATAGAAAAAGTCAGCAACCCATGCTTGTCGTAAAAGGCGACTATGCTAGTCGTAAGAGGCGACTAACGGGATCGGGTGGTCAGGCTCGCTTACTTGGTTGATTCATGTCATCGTATCCCAATTGCAGGGATAGTACTCATGATGTCAATCACTGCATTTTCTGGTCCAGACTGGATTATTTACAGACCGCCGTCATATAGCTGGAATAGTGCTGAGTGTGGCGTTAAACAACAAAAAAACAAACAAACAAATACAACCGGTAACAAACTTCAATTTCAGCTGACGTTCAGGAAGAAACTGCTAGGTTTTGAAGGCGGCATAGACCACCTGTATGAACTGCAGCTGTACACTCTGCCCATGTCAACGGCATCGAAGTCGCAGAGCCGGCTCTTCAAGCTGCAGTCCATTCGAGGTGATCAGAGTGAGTGAGTGAGTTGGGTTCAAGGCCGCTTTGAACAGTATCCCAGTTATATCACGGCGTGTCAGCTCAATGTGGGAGCAGGTCTAAGACCACTTCGGTGAAACCTACGGGCACGGAAATGGTGCTGACAAACCTAGAAACAAAATCGAGTTTGATCCCACAATCATAGGTTTATGGGCGTGTCCAAGGAGTGCAGAGCAAATTGCGGCGCCTTAGACGACTGGGCCACCCGTTCCCCCAGAGTTTTGCCAACTGTTTACCAATATGTTCCAGTATGCTAGACTGGAATGGCAGTAATTACTAAGGTACACTAGTATGTATCTGGACTATAAGTTAGTACGGTGATCAGTTGGTATGCAAGTAAACTGGCGTACATGCAGGTATACTAGTCCGGTGGTATGTCAGTATGTAAGTGTGTTCAATTGAAATGGGGTTTAACGTCGTGTTCAAGATCATTGCACTTATATAGCAAAATTCATGCACGTGCGTGTGCGTGTGTTTTCGTGCATGTGTGCGTGCGGCGTGTGTGTGGGGGTGCATGTGTGCGTGTGTGCGCGCGGTGTGGATGTGTGCGTGTGTGTGCGTGCGGCAGTGTATGGGGATGCATGTGTGCGTGTGTGCGTGTCACTGACCAGTTGTCGCCATTTTATTTCTGACATATTCCGTGTACAAAGTTAACTGTACCAATAACATTTGTGAAATTATGAGCTTATGCGCTTATTTCTGTCCGTGGAATAAGACTCAGTTGATTTCTGTTATAACGCTACGATAGGGAATCAAAACAGTGGAAATAGAACTTTCCCGTCGACTTACCAGTTATCGCCATCGTCTTAATAGCACGTGCCACGTGATCACGTGCACCGCTACAGTTATACACATTAAAACAAATTTCAGTTTCTCGGGTATAGCACACAATTTATTTATTTTTAAATGAATAAGTAATGTTATTATCAATTTGTCGTTTCCACACTGACAAAAGCCAATATTAGATAATATGCATGTATGTTGTAGATGATATGCATGTATATTGTAGATGATATGCATGTATGTTGTAGATGATATGCATGTATGTTGTAGATGATATGCATGTATGTTGTACATGATATGCATGTATGTTGTAGATGATATGTATGTATGTTGTAGATGATATGCATGTATGTTGTAGATGATATGTATTAAGTTGTAGATGATATGCATGTATGTTGTAGATGATATGTATGTATGTTGTAGATGATATGCATGTATCTTGTAGATGATATGTATGTATGTTGTAGATGATATGCATGTATGTTGTAGATGATATGCATGTATGTTGTAGATGATATGCATGTATGTTGTAGATGATATCCATGTATGTTGTAGATGGTATGCATGTATGTTGGAGTTGATATGCATGTGTGTTTTAGATGATATGCATGTATGTTGTAGATGATATGCATGTATCTTGTAGATGATATGCATGTATGTTGTAGATGGTATATATGTATGTTGTAGATGATATGCATGTATATTGTAGATGATATGCATGTATGTTGTAGATGATATGCATGTATGCTGTAGATGATATGCATGTATGCTGTAGATGATATTCATGTATCTTGTAGATGATATGCATGTATGTTGTAGATGATATGTATGTATGTTGTAGATGATATGTATGTATGTTGTAGATGATATGCGTGTATGTTGTAGATGATATGCATGTATGCTGTAGATGATATGCATGTATGCTGTAGATGATATTCATGTATCTTGTAGATAATATGCATGTATGTTGTAGATGATATGCATGTATGTTGTAGATGATATGTATGTATGTTGTAGATGATATGCATGTATGTTGTAGATGATATGCATGTATGTTGTAGATGATATGCATGTATGTTGTGGATGATATTCATGTATCTTGTAGATGATATTCATGTATCTTGTAGATGATATGCATGTATGTTGTAGATGATATGCATGTATGTTGTAGATGATATGCATGTATGTTGTAGATGATATGCATGTATGTTGTGGATGATATTCATGTATCTTGTAGATGATATGCATGTATATTGTAGATGATATGCATGTATATTGTAGATGATATGTATGTATATTGTAGATGATATTCATGTATCTTGTAGATGATATGTATGTATCTTGTAGATGATATGTATGTATCTTGTAGATGATATTCATGTATCTTGTAGATGATATTCATGTATCTTGTAGGTGATATGTATGTATCTTGTAGATGATATGTATGTATGTTGTAGATGATATGCATGTATGTTGTAGATGATATGCATGTATATTGTAGATGATATGCATGTATGTTGTGGATGATATTCATGTATCTTGTAGATGATATTCATGTATCTTGTAGATGATATGCATGTATGTTGAAGATGATATTCATCTATGTTGTAGATGATATGCATGTATGTTGTAGATGATATGCATGTATCTTGTAGATGATATGCATGTATCTTGTAGATGATATTCATGTATGTTGTAGATGATATTCATGTATGTTGTAGATGATATGCATGTATGTTGTAGATGATATGCATGTATGTTGTAGATGATATTCATGTATCTTGTAGATGATATGCATGTATGTTGTAGATGATATTCATGTATGTTGTAGATGATATGCATGTATGTTGTAGATGATATGCATGTATCTTGTAGATGATATGCATGTATCTTGTAGATGATACGCATGTATCTTGTAGATGATATGCATGTATGTTGTAGATGATATGCATGTATCTTGTAGATGATATGCATGTATCTTGTAGATGATATGCATGTATCTTGTAGATGATATGCATGTATCTTGTAGATGATATGCATGTATCTTGTAGATGATATGCATGTATCTTGTAGATGATATGCATGTATCTTGTAGATGATATGCATGTATGCTGTAGATGATATGCATGTATGTTGTAGATGATATTCATGTATGTTGTAGATGATATGCATGTATGTTGTAGATGATATGCATGTATCTTGTAGATGATATGCATGTATGTTGTAGATGATATGCATGTATCTTGTAGATGATATGTATGTATGTTGTAGATGATATGTATGTATGTTGTAGATGATATCTATGTATGTTGTGGATGATATTCATGTATGTTGTAGATGATATGCATGTATGTTGTAGATGATATGCATGTATCTTGTAGATGATATGCATGTATCTTGTAGATGATATGTATGTATGTTGTAGATGATATGTATGTATGTTGTGGATGATATTCATGTATCTTGTAGATGATATGCATGTATCTTGTAGATGATATGTATGTATGTTGTGGATGATATGCATGTATGTTGTAGATGATATGCATGTATGTTGTAGATGATATGTATGTATGTTGTAGATGATATGCATGTATGTTGTAGATGATATGCATGTATGTTGTAGATGATATGCATGTATGTTGTAGATGATATGCATGTATGTTGTAGATGATATGTTTGTATGTTGTAGATGATATGCATGTATGTTGTGGATGATATTCATGTATCTTGTAGATGATATGCATGTATCTTGTAGATGATATGTATGTATGTTGTAGATGATATGTATGTATGTTGTAGATGATATGCATGTATCTTGTAGATGATATGCATGTATGTTGTAGATGATATGCATGTATCTTGTAGATGATATGCATGTATGTTGTGGATGATATGTATGTATGTTGTAGATGATATGTATGTATGTTGTAGATGATATGGATGTATGTTGTAGATGATATGCATGTATGTTGTAGATGATATTCATGTATCTTGTAGATGATATGCATGTATGTTGTAGATGATATGCATGTATCTTGTAGATGATATGCATGTATCTTGTAGATGATATGCATGTATGTTGTGGATGATATGTATGTATGTTGTAGATGATATGTATGTATGTTGTAGATGATATGTATGTATGTTGTAGTTGATATGTATGTATGTTGTAGATGATATGCATGTATGTTGTAGATGATATGCATGTATCTTGTAGATGATATGCATGTATGTTGTAGATGATATGCATGTATGTTGTAGATGATATGTATGTATGTTGTAGATGATATGTATGTATGTTGTGGATGATATTCATGTATGTTGTAGATGATATGCATGTATGTTGTAGATGATATGTATGTATGTTGTTGATGATATTCATGTATGTTGTGGATGATATGTATGTATGTTGTAGATGATATGTATGTATGTTGTAGATGATATGCATGTATGTTGTGGATGATATGTATGTATGTTGTGGATGATATGCATGTATATTGTAGATGATATGCATGTATGTTGTAGATGATATGCATGTATGTTGTAGATGATATGCATGTATCTTGTAGATGATATGTATGTATGTTGTAGATGATATGTATGTATGTTGTAGATGATATGCATGTATGTTGTAGATGATATGCATGTATGCTGTAGATGATATGCATGTATCTTGTAGATGATATGCATGTATATTGTAGATGATATGCATGTATGTTGTAGATGATATGTATGTATGTTGTAGATGATATGCATGTATGTTGTAGATGATATGTATGTATGTTGTAGATGATATGCATGTATGTTGTGGATGATATGCATGTATATTGTAGATGATATGCATGTATGTTGTAGATGATATGCATGTATGCTGTAGATGATATGCATGTATGCTGTAGATGATATTCATGTATCTTGTAGATGATATGCATGTATGTTGTAGATGATATGTATGTATGTTGTAGATGATATGTATGTATGTTGTAGATGATATGCATGTATTTTGTAGATGATATGCATGTATGCTGTAGATGATATGCATGTATGCTGTAGATGATATTCATGTATCTTGTAGATAATATGCATGTATGTTGTAGATGATATGCATGTATGTTGTAGATGATATGTATGTATGTTGTAGATGATATGCATGTATGTTGTGGATGATATTCATGTATCTTGTG